ATTCTCTTCTATGTTCATTTTGTCTGTCTCTTATGTCTTTCCTCGGCCATGCCACACTCATTTTCACATTTCATCAGTTTCCCACCGGAGATTTAAGAGGATTACCGCCCCATACTGCAGTTTTGCTCTAATATAATTATAAGATTGATTGACTTACCTGGTAAGGAAGATCAATCTTGATTATTCGAGCATCGTAGTCCTTCCATGATAGTATTGGTAGGTTTCATTTGATGCCTATCGACGCACAACAGTTTAAAGAATGTGTAAACAAAATAGAAAAACACCCCTGTCTCCACCTCATCGTCACACGGTGCTCCAGTTCAGTTTGTTGAAAAACAAGGAAAATCGCCCTGGTTAGGGGTGATGGGCCTGGGTGGGCCCTATCATGGAAGGACTACGATGCTCGAATAATCAAGATTGATCTTCCTTACCAGGTAAGTCAATCAATCTTATAATTATTCTTCGCATCTCCGTCCTTCCATGATAGTATTGGTAGATGTTCACAGGTGAAGGAATTCCAGGGCGATTAAAAGTAGGTATTTATTAATAGTTTTAACGGAGCTTCAATTAACAATTAATATTTAGTGTATTAACCTTAGAATGTAATAATAGCAATAATAATTCCTTAAAATTAAGCAGGACTTGTAACCGTTACTGGTATAAGTTAGGATACATTTAGCAAACCCTTCCTGCATTTTGGCCAGGGGTATGTTGTAAAAACTATGAAAAAACCTGACATTTCTCTGTCCAATCCGCACTATTTCGAATCGTATCGATATCTATCCCTGATCAAAAAACTGCTGAAGTAAACTAAAACTGTCTTTACCCCTCTGTCTAGTTTGAGTAGAGGCCGGATGATATAANACTAATTACTATTAAACTTAAAAACACTATTAAATTATTACTAAACTTCGGTAATTATTCTATTTATTTGCATTACTGTTACTATTCACTGTTCTATTTATTTCACTCCTATCACTGTTAATTTATCTCTTGATTCACTTTATCAATTTATTTCTATTACTCTCGGCGATCGTCTCTTCCTTTAAATACTCTTTTGGTCCCTTTCGGGAACTTTCTCCAGCCGTCCAGAAAAGTCTCGTTTTCTTTGAATTGTTTTATTGCTTTCCCGGAACGGGATGATCCTAATTCGTACCTTGAAAAAATAGGTACTTAGTTCCAATTAGTATTTATGTAGGGTGATGAGGAGGGCTTCTATCTATTACAATTGAGCAGTGTTCTGTTCCTATAAAATCATGATTTGTCCTTATACAGGGTGTTTCTGAAACATGTAGCAAGCTTTAGAAAGTGCAAACTAGTTTTAATGGGAAAGCTCATAATGAGTACAATAGGGTGGTTAAGGGACAAAAAAATTTATAAGAACACCACAGCAAGTTATAATACAAAATCGGTCCATGGAATGATTTGACAACGTGGATGTAGTGCTTCTAAGTCATTGAGTACAAATTATAATATGAACTGAGCAGCTACTCATGGATAGAATGGCGCTTGTCCAATGTCTAAAGTAAACATAAACAACATCAACTTTATGTTTATGTATAGACGAGATATTAGTTCCGGGAATACCACTAAGCACCCACATGCATACGTGTATTACAAAAATTTTTCAAATAAATTAAAACCACTTGGTAAAACAGAGGTGTTTTAAAGCGGCTACGAAAGTTACTTCTCATTCGCGGAATTACATCAGACATTTGACGAATTTTATTTGCAGCGATCATCACACGGTCCTGCACATCATTAGCATTGTTCTTTGGCGATTGATACGAGCACTGTTTCATATAACCCCATACAGAGAAGTCTGCGGAATTAGATCCGGACAACCAAGAGTGTAAGCATCACCTTATGGGAATAATTGACGTTTGAAGCACTTTTTTATCGGCAGATACAAATTCTCCCGCGGCTGAAAATCAGTTCCCTTAAGGCTTGCACTCGCTACAAGGATGCAGCAACTGATTTGTTAAATCATCATACTGGAATATGGAAGAAAGCCAAGGTTTCACGTTTATTCATGTGTACTACTTTGGGGTTAAAATCAAGGATTTCGTCTTCTACAGGGAGATATGGTTAAAAATAACATCAATCATAGTTAATGTAATATAACAAATAACAAACAATGCGTGAGCACAAAAGTACAAAAAAACTTGCGATTTGATGAGGCGTTGCAACGTCGTATTTTTCTGTATGAGCTACCAGGCCCGGACTGGCCCTTACCTCTGTTTTTAAATGCGTTTTTCTTAAATGCGGTAAACTTTCGGAGCATCAAACATTTATAATTTTCTTGTTTTATAGTATCCTCCTGCACGCTTGCTACTAATTTCGCAAACACTCTGTATAGTAGAATGAAAATTCGGACTATAGGGCCGTGGTCTAAGTGAACTATTCTGTCCAGACGTTTCGTCAGCTACTACGACTGTCGCTGTCGAGACTTCGAGATATAATCTACGTTCACGTTGTCAACGCAGCACCACCACTGAGGATGTCAGCCGCAGTAGCTGACGAAACGTCTGGACAGAATAGTTCACTTAGACCACCGTCCTATAGCCCTTCAATCTACTATGGATTCCGGCCGTGAAAGCCTTTAATCTCTTCTGTACCTAGTAACACATTATTTTTTGGGAACTTGCCAAAATTAGTGTAAAATGTTGCAAAAAAAATGTAGCAACAGTGCCTTCTGTATTAAGAAGGCATGAGATAGTTCGTGGCAATTGAATCAACTTCAGTCGACTACAGCCTATGTCAATTTGGAATAACCTCAAATGAGTGAATCTGAATCGCAAAGCCGTAATAATGCCGCAAGAAGTTGACAATCAGAACTAATACGCGTCTAATTGAAATGTGAGCAAATCGAAATGTACCCACTTCTGTTATATCTATCAGCGCCGATTGTCGGTTAACGTGGATAAGTGTGAAAGGAACAGATGGTTGGGTTGAAAAAAGAAAAAAACAAGTAGTAAATGATGAAGTACAATTTCCAGAACAGAACCCAAAAAGCATCTAGCAAGGATTTAGAGATAGCTTTAAGCGGTATTGACGAAACAATACTGTATGAAAATAAATAAAAATAATAAAAAAATTATGGTATGTAAGGAAAGAAAAAGTAGGGAAAGAGCGAATATAAAGATAGGAGACGAAAAATTAGAAGAAATTGCCGACTTTAGGTATCTAGGAAGCCAGATAAGTCAGTACAGAAGGAGTAGTAGGGATATAAAGCAGAGGATAGCGCAAGGTCGAGTCGCCTTCAATAAGAAGAAGTCACTTCTATGTTCGTGAACGGTTAATTTAGAAATTCGAAAAAGGTTGTTAAAGGTGTATGTTTGAAGCACGGCGTTGTATGGATTCGAAACATGGTCAGTGGGCGCGGCGGAAAATAAAATAAAATGAAGAGGTATTAGAAACAGTAGGAGAATAGACGACTGTATGGAGGTCAGTAAGAAATAGGCGACATAGGTTGGTAGGACACCTCCTCAGGCATGAAGGTCTAGTCAGAGACATATTAGAGGCAGAAACGGAAGTTAGGAGGGGTAGAGGTAGACCTAGATTAGATTACTGTTCGCAGATAGGTAAGCATGTGGGTTTTTCTAGTTTTAGGGAAATGTGAAGATTAGCTCAGGATAGAAAAGAGGGGAGGTACGTGTCCAACCAGTTTTAGGACTGACGATCTTATGATGATGATATTGGAGCGACAGTTGAAATAAGAACAAAGAACATTGAATATAAAGTTGTAGCAATTTAATTAAGGATAATAATTAGATACTTTAGCGAAATAATATACATAAATATTAATTAATTTGTTTTCATTTTCGGACATTTAAGAACCTGTGTAATTCATAAGCCACGGCTAAATTAAAAATCTCAAAGCTCCTATGGTTAATAACAAATAAAAAATTCTGGAGCTTCAGGCAATATTGGTAAGGTTTCCTGAATAGTTCATCAAATTTTCATACGTTTCTTGAAATCACCAAACTTTTGTAAGAAATTTTTCGTACTGAAAAGGTTAGAAGCGTTCGAAATGTCGTGTTACAGACGAATGATGTGAATACTGTGGATTGGGAAGGTTAGAAATGAAGAGGTATTAGAAAGAATAGGAGAACAGAGGATTCTATGGAAGTCAATAAGAAATGGGCGAGATAGGCTGGTGAGACATCTTCTCAGGCATGAAGGTCTAGTCAGAAACATATTAGAGGCAGAAACGGGAGTTAGGAGGGGTAGAGGTAGACCTAGATTAGATTACCTGCTGTTCGCAAATAGTTGAGGATGTTGGATGTTCTAGTTTTAGGGAAATGCGAAGATTAGCTCGGGATAGGAAAGTAAGAGTGGAGGTGGGTATCCAACCAATCTTAGGGCTGACGACCATATGATGATGAAATAAAAGATTAATTAAGTACCGTAAATTAAATTTAATGATTATAAAATAAATGTACGAAAAGTGGCAATATTGAATAATAACAATGAATGGAGGTCTACAATCAGTATAATAGCAATGGAAAATTTGAACATAGGTTACTTAAATGCTTAAATCATGTTTTATTACTTCTGGTCTCTCTGAACTTTTCCACCAGGTATAAAAGATGAAAACGATTATTCTGCTGTGTCGATAATTAAAGCGGCTGTTATGAATTTTTAAATGTGAATTATCCTGATTATTCATATCAACGAGAAACGAGTAGATAGAATTTTATTTGCGGCATAATAATAAGGCAAACAATGTGAAAGCTGTATTTCCGATTGGCATTGAAGTGAAGTCTGAAGTGTTATGCACCAGGCAAAAGTGTCTTACGCCAAGGGCTTAGTTTTGTCCAAATTTGAACGGGTTCAACTACTGATTATTAAGAAAAATATTTTCCTATTGTATTAATTTTGTTCATTGATGTTCATCTTCTATTTTGTTCTGTCATCGCAATTCCTAATTTTTGATACATTAATAATTGTTGCTCTAAATTTTCTATGAACTTTAAGAGAAGTAAACTTTGTTTCAGGTGGAGTTATGTATAGAACCAGGACAAAGTTTGGGATTAATGATCCGAGGTGGTGTGGAGTACAACCTAGGTATATTTATAACAGGAGTCGACAAAGATTCGGTTGCTGACAGAGCAGGATTGATGGTAAGTTGCTAAGATTTCAAACTATTTACATTCAATCCACGAGTTAGTTGCGTACTGATTGAATCTGTACAATTAATTAGATATACATTTACTTAATTAACTTATTACATTAAAACTAACCGGCTAAATTATAAAATTAATTTATTAAAATTGCAAAAGTACGTATTCTATTTAAATAAACATAAATTCTTGAAAATTCGAAAAACTTATAATGTAAAGATAACAAAGGTCTGCGATAAAAAAATATTTTGTATAAAGTCATCTTTAGCATGCAAATGTAAACTTTATTTTAACGTATCACGTCACATTTTTTTTTTGTATTTAGATAAATATATATAATAACTCCTTGAATCGGCAAATTTATTTGTCTTTTCACAAAATTCATTTTATGGTTTATATTTCTATTTAATACTCTCTGATTGAGCATTGTATTGTCTTTTACTTTATTTTAGATAGTGTGGAAGTAACTATAGTGGTTTACACCCTCTGAAAAAAAAAAATAGTTTATAGTGCGTCATTATTGAGAGAGATATAATATTAACATGTAATAAAAGATTTTGTTTGATTTATCTTTAACTACAGCTTCTTAGAGTTGTAAAACAATCTAATTGTATTTTGTTACATTTGCGGACAATATACAATAGTTAAGCAAAGATATTGAATATAACAGACTTTGTAAAAAATGCTTATTAAGCTTACTTCAGAATGAAGTTGTGTCACCAAGATAAACAGTGGGCTACGATAAAGTATGCCGGTTATGTATTGAAGTGTTAAGACAGTTGACTTATGGTAAACCAAAATCATTGTTATTTGGTATTCCTATGTCCAAATTAGAATGTAATTGGAAGTCGGAGTGAACAATATCATCAATACGAGTTTGAAAGATTCCGAAAAGGTATTACTTCCATCACTTATCATTAAACTTGGTTTGATCAAACAGTTTGTAAAGGCATTTCGACTTAACCAACGGTGATTATATCATGTTTAGATATCGAAGTCACAATCTATGTAAGTTTTAAGAATATAAAGAAATCGTAAGGACATAAAAAATTACTTTTTAGAAAAAAAATCAATTCAAAAATCACTTTTTTTTATTTATTTTCTATCTTTCCATGCTTTAATATTGTCGGGGGTATTTTTAACAAACACCATCAAAAAGAGCATCGTTATAAACATAGAAACACGGGTTATCGAATATTGTTTCGTCTCACTCATTACATGGCAAGAGTTCAAATGGAAATGTGTTCTCTGAGCATTTATGGGTTAATGTGACGTGGTATACACCATATGAATATCGTTTTCTGTTACTTTTAAGACAATTACGACAAATATTAACAATTTAAGAAAAAAACTTTTAAAAAAAAATTCGCAGACCTGTGTAATTTACAGTAAGTGCCTCTCGGGTCATAGTGAAGAAAGACAAAACTATTAATATGATAAGTAAAAACATTTGGTTAATGTATGTTTTACTAACTTATTTTTAAAAACATTCTAATCTAACCTAACAAATAATAAACAATACATGAGCAAAAAATATAAAAGAAATACAATACAACTGAATGAATACGGCGTTGCATTGTCGTATTTCTCTCCAGAGCCGGAATTAGATTTGCCTGTAGTTTCAACTGGGTTTTTCTTGAAAAAGGTGAACTTTCAGACCTGTAAACATTTACTTAATCTTCTTATTTTATAGTGGCTATCATCTTCTGCTAGGTTGCTACTTATTTCAGAAACATCTTGTTTAATTATTCCGATAGCCACTTCTGATGATTATGAATACATCAGATGATTCTGAAAACTAAAAATTCAGTATTGTCGCGTATTCAAACACCCTTGGCACTATTATTTAATTTATTTAACTGTAAGCTCTTTAATTATTAACTGTTATTAGTTAATTACTCGTTCAATACTATACACAAAGTTGATGGCTTCATTGCTCTTGTTATTTCGCATTCTGTCGCCTCGTAACTAGAACTCGATGAACTGACTGTTCCGATCTCGCGACAATTAGTTTTTCGGACTGGACTTGTTGTAGAAGGTTCCCAGAATTCGGTATCTAGGGAATCTGATTTTATTTGTTAGTAGTGAGATCTAGGCAAGCCATTATCGGTCCCTTGACGCGTGGTGAGTCACTTCCCCCCTCCTAAAACTGGTCGTCCCTATCAGTGACGTCGCCTCTGTAGGGAGCAAGCGGGTCAAGATGGACGATTTTCATTTTTGTCAGAAGTTCCTTTTGATTCCGATAAACAATGTCGTTGATGCGTCGAGCAACTATATAAGTGACCATATTTTTTTTGTCAAAGCGGGACGTCCGTTGTAAAAACAATTACAAGTTTTTTTACTAAAAAGGGTAAAGTATGTTACATTACTTCTATATAGGCTGTATTTTATATTTGTCGGCTGAATAAATCTTTTTTAAAACTTGGTTTCGTTTTTAGGTACGAATAGACCTCAGAACAAGATTCATTTATGTTAATCTTTGTAATCAAAATGACTTTCAATACTGAGACGCTCAACTGTGCTTTTTCGCTGGTCGCGATGTGATGTAGGTACAAAGCAATTGTAAATTAAATTATCATTTAGTCTGTTTGCGAAAGCGGGACTCAAAGCAGGACGTATGGTCACCTTATGTATGGACCATCCCAAGTTTGTTGTAGTTTCGGGCAAATTCCCTTTCGAATTAATGGATTTTATGCGGTCACTTTTGAGTCGCGGCTTTGTACGCATAGCATTATGGATTGTAGGTTGTCACGTATTCATTTGTAGACACTGGTGAGTCTCCAGACCGACTAAACATCATGTTTGCTGGTAGGCTGAGTGATTTCCGAAATAAAATTCTGGTCGGTGTCCTTCCACTTGTTTCACAGATGTCGAATCTGTAGGTTAAACGGAATAGAAGTAACAAAATAATTCGAAGTGGTCTCTATTCTGTCGAAACTGCCAGACGCGGATCGCGATTTCGATCTTTTTGGATCTCATCAGCGCGTCGCAGGCAGCTCCGACAGAACACAGACCAACCTTTACCTGCTGCCTTAACAGCGCGTTTTAGAAAATACCACAAATGGCGTGGTGAGCGCCATCTGTAGTACGATGCTACATTTGAGGATTACATATGCTCCAACAAGGTCCATTTAAAAATATGGATATCTACTTGCTGAAACGAATACCGGCGTAGCTAACCTCAACGTGATAGGCACGTTACCATAATCGAACAAAATAATTCGAAGTGGTCTGTGTCCCGTCGAAACTGCCAGACGCGGATCGCGATTTCGATCTTTTTGGATCTCATCAGCGCGTCGCAGGCAGCTCCGATAGAACACAGACCAACCTTCGTTTCAGCAAGTAGATATCCATATTTTTAAATGGACCTTGTTGGAGCATATGTAATCCTCAAATGTAGCATCGTACTAAAGATGGCGCTCACCACGCCATTTGTATTATTTTCGGAATAGAAGTAGGTATATGTCGATCTCAGTTAGTTTAGTCGTCACTGACTAAGCTTCTCAAGTTAGTTTCCAGATTAGCGTTGAAACGTTCAAACATCTCATCAGACTATGGATGTAAGCGCGCAGTCCTTGTTTTAGTAATGCCTATTAGTTTAGTAATTTTCTTGAACAAGTCAAGAACTTGAAGTTCCTGCCTTGGTAGAAATGCAATTCTATCGGTATTTAATATCGGCTAACCCAGCTAATTAACAAACTTTCCTGCAGCAGTGCGTGCTTCGGGTCACTTACTCAAGTTACCATGGATGACCAAGATGTATCGGTTATCGGGGTCTCTAATTGGAAATATCCCTGCTACGTCAACTGTGATTCTCTCAAAAGGCACTCCTACGTTGTGCTACTGCAATTGGGGCTCCAGAGAGTGTAATATTAATGTCTTTCGGCATTCGGGTGCCCAGTGGAATGAAAGTCTATATAGTGGTCGGGCAATAACGGCAAATCCTTGTATGAATCTTCGATAGGAGGTGCAAAGTTTCAATAATCTTCTAAATTCATACAGTATCCGTTTTGCCTGAATCGCTGTTAATTCCTTCCGGTGTTATAGCATGACCTAGATACTTTGCCTCTCTCCTAAACAGGATGGGACATAGCTGCAACTTTCCTACTGTCAAGTTTTTAAAAACTTCAGTAACGTTTCGGAAAGTTTTTCCAAGAATGATGTCGTCTAAGTAAAACAAACAAATTTTCCAGTTTAGTCTTTGTAGTAGAGTGTACATTAATATTTTGAATGTAGCAAGTGCATTACACAATCCAAAAGTTAGCCCACTGAATTACCATGGTTTATTTCTAGTTGTAAAAGCAGTCTTCTCCATATTCTGCGGATGCACTACCATTTGCCAGTATCTACTTTTCAAGTCGAGAGCAGAGAGTCATTTAGATCTAGCTAGAATGTCTAGTGAGCAGTCGATTTGGGGTTACATGGGTGTAGCCACTCTCTGTAGTGTGAGATGTGACTAGCAAAAGTTGTGTTCTGAGAAGAACCGATTTACAAAAGCGTTGGACACATTGCTGTGCCTAAGATGAGACGTAGCACTGGTACAGCATCCGATGGTCGATGTTCAGGAGTTGATACTGTTGCAGTATACAATAATAGCGAGCCTGGTGTTAGACTAATTTTATTTCGATATTTACAGAGTATTTATACAAAATTATTTACATGGTATTATATGGCAAAGAACATTTCAGCATATTACATTTGTGTGTGTATTTGCCGTTGACCTAGTTAGTCGCAGTGTGTCGCGACCTAACTAAGTCAGCACAAATGTAGACGCTTAATTGATACACA